CCGGTCCACACACGTGTGTCTCTACCGGAGGGGGGGGGGGCTCCACTTCCCCCCGGAACACCCTCCTACCATCCTTCCCCAACCAATGGGAACTCTCCGGGAGTCCCATAACTGAACAGCAGGAGTCCAATTTCCATATGAATGTAATACTTTTGCAGTGGCTCCTAGCAATCCATCTCTTTACAGTCACTTATACTAAAAATAATTCCACTTCACAATGCCTGGAAGAACATCAAGTGGAAAGTATCCAAACCAGGGAGAAACCATTCCCTTCATTTTCCTCTGCATGGTCAGTTCAGACCGGTGTATGGCAGGGGAGGAGGTGTGGAAGGCTAGATAATTTGGTGTCAGCCAGTTCTTTATCTTTCTTTACCAAGAAAGTACCACAGTTACTGACTTTTTGGTGAAACCAGAATCCAAAGCCATTTAAGTGGAGTTATGATTCTGGAGAAGAAATAACTTGATCCAGCAACTGCAAGTTTATTTGTACAGAGCTTCTGGAGACATCTTGTTCTTCATGGTCATAAATTGAACACATTACTGAAGCTCAATGGTCTGGCTATGTAGCAAGTAAGGGATGTGCACAAGTGTGCACGTGTGTGTAAAAGCACTGTGCAAACACTAAAACATGTACAAAAGGAAAAAAAAATCCATGGCTCTTTCCCGTAGTATTCTGTTCTTTCTTCTATATCATGGATTAGACCCAGAGAAAAAATTATAGGTCCAAATCTCCAGATTTGAAGTTTTCAACCTTGTCTGTCTAGTAAAATCACCTGGAGTTTTGAAAATAATATTGATGCCTGAACTTTACCTTCAGAGATTGTGTTTCACTAGATCTGGATGAGGCCTACATATATGATTTTTTAAAACTCCCCAGATAGCTAACCTACATCTAGGGTATAAAATTACTTACATATACTTTGTTATTTTTGTTGGTATCAGGGATTGAACTCAGGGGCACTCAACCACTGAATCACATTCCCAGGACTATTTTGTATTTTATTTAGAGACAGGGTTTCACTGAGTTGCTTAGCACTTCACCATTGCTGAGGCTGGCTTTGAACTTGTGATCCTCCTGACTCAGCCTCCTGAGCCACTGGGTTTATAGGCACGTGCCACTGCACCTATCTTACATAGACTTTTAAGTAGATTTTCTTGACTACTGAGATCCATTCTTGTGCTATAATTATTTTGTAACCATTTATGGCCAAATACACTTAAAATGTAGACATTTACTGCATTCATTCAATTTAATAGAAACTTGTTGAATGCCTTCTGGCCCACAGTCAGATGGACTGCAATAGGTGTGTGTGAGTGGAAATGTCCTCTGCCCTAGAAGAGCATAGGCCAAATTAAAGGGCTCTGTCACTTACACAAATAACTACTGTCTAGTTACTAAAGGGAGCAATTACTTTCTGCTAGAAAAATTCTAAAGGTCTCATGGAATAGAACCTTAAACATTCTGTAGTATGTAGGAATATTTTTAATAATTTTAGGAGAAGATTCCTTTGTAAAAGGAAACTCACTTGATTGAAAAGTTGCTTCGATAAGTCCACCATGCTTTAACAATAATTCTTAGACTAGCATTTGGGTTTGGAACATAGAAACTTCTCTACATAAGAGAGTGGGAAGAGGGGAGCAGGGATGAATGCTATGTGGGGAAGTGGTCACAAGAACACTCAGTGAGTTTCTGAACAAGAACAAGGATTCATAGGTCATTTTTAATGAGAATTTTAAAGACAAAATATTATGGAATATAAGCAAAACTATCCCCAGAATCGGTGCCTCACAGCTGGTCAGAAAGACCCTCTCTTCTCAACTCCCAAGTTCTTGCAAATAGCAGGTCTCAGCCCTAGGGAGGTGCTCTGGGTTGCCATCCCCTGGGCCCATGGGCAGTGACCAGACAGGTGTGGGGTGACACCAGAACCCCCCCCCCGCCCCCGTGCCGTTTCCTCAAGAGGAACCCACATGCTGTCCTGTGTCCCTGCGCCATGTTGTACCTACATGACCCGTGACATTCCCATCATGTACCCAGACCAACAGGCCACAGAGAGATGTGAGGGGGCTGCTGGTCTCGCAGGACGATGTGGCCACCAATGCACCCCCCTGGCAGGAGGTCGCACTGGCCTCTGAGACCCTCCAGAGCTGGAGGCCGCTCTCCTCAAAGCCAGATACGGGGCACACACATCATGTGGAGCCACCTGAGATTGGGTCGGCCTCTGTGGAGTCTCAGCACACACCGCCTCCCCTGCGAGTCTCCCTGGGGTGACTTCGTGCAAGATCTTCAGGGTCTGTAGGCGCAGGGGCAGCAGCGGCCACAGCACCGCTGGGACCACCCTAGAGGTTGGACCCGCGCACCTGCCTGAGCGCACAGTGTCCTGTCCCCTTGGTCCCCTCCTCCACCCCCCGTGGTCCTGAGTCCAGGTCACCTGTGCCCTGTGAGTGTGCGGTGTGCGCTTGGGTCACCGTGGCCACCATCATTGGTCCCCGTCCTGTGGTGGCTGCTGGCAGCCTGAGCTAGGGTCCTGTCACACCTCTTGATCTTCCTCTTTGACATCCGCCGCTCCCTCCTGAGTGCCTCAGACCCCCTCAGACAGCAGCCTATGAGACCTGCCAGGCCCCACGGTTGTGCAAGGTTGAACACATGCGTGTGTGTGTTTGCCCATGCACACACCCAAAGACGCATCCGTGTTTATGTGCACAGGTACATGCATGTGTATGTGGCTGTGTATGTAAAATACGCATTTCTGTTTCTGGGAGTGTATCCACCTTAGGATTCCCCAGGGAGGCCCAACCTGGCATATCTGTGGGTCAGTGACCACTGTCTGGACCGTCCACCTGCCTGTGTGTCCATCTACCACCTCTAGTGACCGTTCTGAATCTGCATTGATTCCTGTATTACATGTTTACCTGGGTGCTGAGGGGTCTCCAGGGAAAGTGAACATTTAGGTACCCATCAATCATCTACCTCTGTGTCTGTCCATCCACCAGATCCAGTTATCCGTCCACCCATCCACCCATCCACCCATCCACCCACCCATCTGTCCACCCAACGTCCATCTGTCCTTCCATTTCTTCATGAACTCTGCCATCTGTCAATCATCTATCCATCCATCCACCATTTCCCTATTTTATCTCTTTCCCGGATCCATCTATCCATCTGCCCACCATCTGCCCATCATCTGTCCATCCCCCTGGGCTGCCCCTCCTATGGTCCCACCACCTCCCAGTAGGGTCACCTCGGGACTGAGCCTTCAACACATGAGCTTTGTTTTGGGGGTAGACACTCCAGATGTACATGGTGACCGAGGTCAAGGTCAGCTGTCAGAGAACTTAGTTTCCTCTAGGGCAGGATGATGCTGTGGTGGCCCAGACCACAGGCAGGGGGTTGAGCAGCTGGCATTATCTCTCTGGCTGCTCAAGCTGAAATGAGAAGCAAATTATCTCCAAGGATCAGGTAAAGGAGGAAATGTCACTGAGAGACAGCCATAAACAAATGCAAATGGAGGTCCCTGGAGAAACACTGGCGGCAGAGGAAGTCAACACATTACAACATGCATTGCAAGCCCCTAAGACGAGGGTGGACGTGGGCAGGCGGTGGGCCCACTCTGCAAGCCTCTGGCACCTCCGCGTCCCGCCCCCTGTTCTGGCCAGAAGTGGGTAAATTTCCCAACACCAGGAATTTGTGGCGGAGAGGGCCAATAACCACTGCTCTCTGGGCGCCCTGATGCTCGCACCATGTAGAGACGCAAGCAGGTGAGACTCCAGCACATCAACTCGGAGGAGGACCAGGGCGAGAAGCCCTGGCAGCAGTCAACTCCAGAGTTCGAAGATGCGGCCCCAGCGGCGCTGGCAGCGGGGGAGCCGGGTGAGTGGAGCTGGAGCGCCCGCGAGGGCGCTGGAGTTTCCCGGGCCTTCTCGGGACCCTCGAAGGCGCGGGCTGCCTTCGGGGTGCTGCGGCTTCTAGTGTGGATTCTGGAACCGGGTTCTGGGGACTCCCTCTAAGGGAAGGGAGGCAGCCTCATCACCCCCACCTCCGTCTTTGCAGATTTTACACTTTTTTTTCTCTTCTCTTGTATGTTTCACCCCCAGCTCTTTCCCCTATTACTGTAAAATTGACCCCCACTCTGCTCTCTCCCTCACTCCTAAAAGGGTTTCCTCTCCTAGTCCTCAGCTTCTAACTTAATTGGTTTCACTCATTTAACTAGTAAACTCCCCGCCCCCCGCGCCCCCGCCCGCGGTAACTTGGGTTCCCCCTCTCTCTTTGGCGCCGGTTTTAAAAGAAAGACCCCAAGGCTCTCCTCCCTGTCCACCACCCCTTGGGGGATTTTGTAGGAGGGTGGAGGAGGGGTGCACCCATGAAAGACCCCCC